TCTTCAGTTCTTCATGTCAATGAAGCCTTGAATTCAGAACGGGAATCAATGATATATAACAAAATTTCCTAATTGCCTCTAAAGCGCCCTTCTTTCCTAGCTCGTGATAGGGTCTCTGAATTATGTTGTCCTCCTGAGACTCCCGACTTCTCTACCTGGTCGTGCCGGGTGACTATTTTTATAGGGTGAGCTTCTGTGTTGAAAACCCACTCATCCAATGAAATGACCGAAGGAGGTGAGAAAAGAAGATAGAAATATTTAAGTGTCTCTGCGAGGAAAAAACTTTGCATCATGTTGTCTTTTACACCAGTATTAACCTGAGAACACCAACAAGGATATGAGTAACTAAAAAATGGTTTCATCATCAACCCATCCCCCGAAAACCTGTACAGGAACACAAGTTAAGATGTGCTTACGTCCTTTAATCCAACATATCCTGTCTCTATGCGGGAGTTCTTTTCAAATGCTTGAAAGATGTTCCATCCCCACTCCTGATATGTCTTATTACCAGTCAAGCGCCAGAGGTAAAAGAGTGATTCAACTGTCTCGGGCCTTAATATGTTCCATGATGTTCCCACACTTATATCCTGAAAATTGTACGATCACAGAAATGAATAAAAAGGTAAGATCCTTACTTGGAAGTTAATGCATAGTTTTACAAATATTGGAAACCAAATAACCATAAAGACCACCTGTCCTGAATTAAAGTAGTAGTTCTCCCCAGCCAATTTCGTAGGTGTTGATTGGTAGAAATTATAACATGTCCAAGCAAGCTTCACAAGGAGGTCAAAGTCATTCCCTCAAAAACTTCAAATAGGAGTCTTCAACTTAAAATATTTGTATAATATACCTCTTCTGCCAATGATAAGAACTTCCTAGCCTCATCAGGACCATAGCCAGTAGATCCTAATGCTAACATCCCTGGAGCAAAACATGCGAGTTCATCCATCTGAATAGCAAATGAGAAAATCACATAAAACCATTTTATCCTTTTCGATCATAAGATATGAAAAAAAAAAA